ATTGAACTTATAAATAAAATCACTACAATAAAATTTCTGTACCTTTTCAAAAATGCTTTCATTTTTAAAATTGTGATTCATGGTAGATCCTACAGGTCCCTTTACTGTCTGAGTTCCATAGGAGCATTATTTGAATTTGCTATTTTAATATAGTCATACTTGACACTTTGATGAGTGCTTTTGGGATTGAAGTCCACATTTATTATTAAACTAATTATGCCCATGGCTTTTAAAATTAAAAGTCTAAGCAGAGCTTTTGCTAGCAATCTATATAATACTCAAGTCATTTTCAATAAAGAATAGTACTTTTACACTCTGGGAGGCTGAGGCAGGAGGACTGCAAATTCAAGCCCAGCCTGGGTGATTCAGCAAGACCCTGTCTTGAAAAAAAAACCAAAAAACAAAAGGCTGGGCATTGTTAGATTTCCCTCACCTTAAAATGGCTGCTACATAAAATGGCAGCCTTCTCCTTCCCATAATACCCTGCTTCCCACTTAAAAATATGGCTTCACCCACCAAAAGACAACCTTCTTCTTCCCAACATGCCCCTCTTCCTGCCAAAAGAGTAATCTGATACTTGTTACCTCCTGGCAACTAGTGATGTCACAGGCTCCTCCAATCCCTAGACACTACATCACTCAACCCCACCCCAGCTCCTACAAGCCCCACCCCAGCTCCTATGAGTAGCGCTCCCAGTCCCGGCCATATTGCTCTTGCTCCTTTATTTGGAGACAGCCTGGCAGATCATCCCTAAAGTAAAGGCTTGTTGTGGCTCTGGTCTAGTCTTGGTTTTCAGCTCTTTTACCTGACAGGCATGTAGCTCACTTTGAATGCCTTCAGTTCAATACCAAGTACCACAAAAGAAAAAATAAAGTACTTGTAAATACTAATCCCTAAGTGAATTGACACTACAAAAGAATATTGCAAGAACAGCGATGCTTTCCATATAATCTGTAATCACTTTTCAGTTGAGTGTAAAAGCAGTGCGTGTATTACATACCAAGGATGGTGCCAAATGTACCATTCCATGAACCGCCACCTCTCATCTTGATTCCTGCCTTGGGCAGATGCATACTATGGTGAAGTCTAGCTGAGAAACAAGAATTTAGTCTCAATAATAAGAAAAGGTCAGGATCCATACAATTTCACATATACCTGCAGGCTTTTAGAGAAGCATTTTTCATGGCTGACAAATGGGAAGAGGACATCTGAGGTCTGACGTCCACTACTGAGCACACAGAGCACATGCGCATCCTCACCACAGTGGTGCCTGCTCAGACACTGAGTACTTGTGTCACAGTTTCTATTCAGCTGTCCACTCCTCCACTTAATTAATGTCTATTTCTAAAGTTAGATAGGAATTTTAATGAAATGTTCGGATGCCCAGAAAGGAAACACAGGTTTACGATTCTGACAGAACAACTCCAAGTCACTATATAAAAATTGCTCCAGAACCTCACAACCACGGGGCTTTGAGTTTTAAGCCACAGTCAGGTTTGGAACTCAATTCTCTGTGGCTCCAGACTCACCGTCTTATTGTCTAAGTCTGATTTTTAACTATATTACATGCTACTCCCAGCCAAGCATGTAGTCCTAAAGGAGAAACTTAGACGTTTCCTCTCCTACTGTAGCAACGGAGAAGGTCTTAGATTCCATATAGCATAACTACAACATGGAAGGACTTTGTCTTAGACTGTTTTATATTACTGTAACAAAATACCTGATGCTGGCTAATGTACAAAGAAAAGAGATTTGAGTGGCTCTGTGCCTGCCTCAAAAGTGCAAGGTCCTGAGTTCAATCCCCGGTACCAAAAAAAAAAAAAAAAAGAAAGAAAGAAAAGAAAAGAGATTTGGCTCATGATTCTGGTGGCTGGAAAATCTAATCATTATGGTTTCTGAATCTGGCTGTGTCACAACATGGTGGATACCATCACATGGCAGGAGAGCGACACAGAGAGAGGCAGAGACAGAGGAGAGAGCAGCAACATGGTGCAAGAAGCAAGGTATAATTTGTAATCTCTTCATGAGGGTGGGCATGACCCAATCAATTCCCATTAGGCTCCAACAGCATCTCTCACATCACCACATTGACCATCAAGCCTCCAGCACAGGAATCTTTGGGAGTTGACCCGTACCCAAGCAATGGCAGGCTTCTCTTCACCTGGGGCCTGCAGTGGCTGTGTGAAACAGAGCCCTTTGTGTTGATTTGTGTTTGACACGTAGTGTGATAAAAGACTTTTTACTTAAGCCATTGGTGGCAGGGGTTCTTCACCACTGTAGAAATGCACCTATTCTCCAAGTAGGTTGTCTTTTCTTGGGGATATGCAGCTCTTTCCTTATTAAGGACACTGACATCTTGTTTGCTATAATTTTCTCTCCCTACTGTAATTGTGTTTCCAGTGCATTCTGCTTTTGCAAATTAAAAAGTTTTACATAGCTCAACTTGTCACATATGCTGTCTTTTGGCTTCTGGTTTTTGTTTTCCCACACAGAAAGATCTCCCTTTGCTAAGATTGCACTTTTCCCAATACCATTTATTGAATAAGCTGTCATTTTCCCACTGGGAAGAAAAAGAAATTTAAAAAGCTACCTTTATCAGCTAAATCCCACCGATATATTCAAATGTGTCTGGGGTCTTAATTTTTTATATTTTTACCAATTTACTTTTTCCTGCCTTTTTTTTTTTGGTACAGGGAATTGAACTTGGGTCCTTCTGCTTGCGGGGCAGGCAGCAGAACCACTGAGCTAAATCCCTAGCCCCTTTTTCCTGCTTTCAAGGTTTTGATAGGTGGTAGAATCACTTCCTCTACATTATTTCATTTCAAAATATTCTTGGTATTCATACACCTTTCATTCTTCTAGATACATTTTGCAGTCTACCTGTCAAGTCCAGGCAAGAAACGAGTTGGGACTCTAGTGGAAATTGTACCAACTGCCTATGTCACTGTGGAGAGCACTGAGATCTTCACCCTGCAGCTTCTCCTCAAAGAACATGCTGTGTCTCTGTCATGTCTATTCACATTCCATTAAACTTCTGTAGTTTTTCTTACATATTTCTTGTTAGATTTATTCCTCTGCGCTTCATAACATTTGTTGCTATTGCAAATGTATTTTCTTTTTATAATTGGCTATTAAATTTTATGGCTCTACTTTTAACTGGTAAAACAGCACAGATGAACTTCAGAGACCTGTCTGAGAACACAATTTAAACTATTCCTGTTCAATAGTTATGTAGAACATGGTTGGGAGAGTCAGTATACATAATTGTCTCAAAGATGCAAAAATAAACAAGCAAAGAAAGTATCTTTGCCATACACCAGATTTAAAAAGTGGCATCTGCCTGAGCTTTTTCACAGCAGTTCTGTCTAGAATTCTTAGCTAATTCCACTTCAATGTCAGGCCATTTGCCCATGAAAATCCTTCTCAGGACTAACTAGTTGCTTTTTAAAAAATATTACATTTCATCATCTCTATGAAGCTCCTGGTTTTTATTCCTTCTGAGAAACAGCTCTGTATTTTTATCTAGCAGACCTGGAGAGACAGATATGTAATCATATAACAGATAACATTTCTCTCCACACTGGCTGCTATAGAGTTTGAGTCAAACTTTCATTTATCATCATTTTCATGGATGTATTTTGAATTCTAAATTTATTCCAGGTCTTGAACTTTCTTTCCTACACTTATGCCTGTATTTCATTTATTTCCATTTTGTTACGCCCTATATATCTTTGTAATCCACTTTAAATATTTTCTGGATCAAAACAGACTTGAAAATGCTGAGACAGGTTTGTGTTCTATAACCCATGCTCCAATGAAACTGCATGATAACTAGAGTTATCACACTACATGAAATAAAGAACTTTATTCCAAAATAAAAAACTGTATTCATTGAAATAACACATAGGTTTATCAAAAAAACTTAACCCCACTTTCTAAAATCAAGCTTAAAAATACCTTCTAAGAAAATGACTAGACAGGTAAATTTTAGACCAGGAAATATACACTTCATAAGACGAGCTGTATTACTAGTTTTTATTTGTCTTACTATTTGAAATATATATTTACTCCTCATTTTGTGCTCAATTATGAAAACACAATTCCTCAAAAAATATTTAATATATTTTTACATTTTAAAAAGCTGCCCCATCACTAGTTTTTAAGTTATATTAATTTAAAACTGTATTTTGGTGACCCAGTATTAAAAAGTGTAAGAGCAAATCAGAATTCTTTTTAACTGGTTTATTTTCCAGTTAACAAGTGAAGATAAAGACATTCTTGGGAAATATTTCTTAGAACTTTTTGTGGTGCTGGGATCAAACCCAGGGCCTCATGCATGTTCTGGAAGTGCTGTACCACTAACCTACACCCAGCACCTAGAACTCTGTGTGTGTGTGTGTGTGTGTGTGTGTGTTTCACTAGGGACTGAACTCAAGGCCTTGCACTAAACTACATCCCCAGACCTTTTGCTTTATTTTAAGACAGGGTCTTTCTAAGCAAGACAACTTTCGATCCTCAGGCTTCAGCCTGCTGAGAAGGTGGCATTATAGACATGTACCATCATGCATGGCTGCCTACAACTATTTTTAACTTAGAGAAGTAATTTAAACAGTGTTCTTAATGGCTGCTTTTTAAAAGCATGAACAAAATCTATTAGGAATTTTCAATACTGAAGTAGATCTATAAATATTAAACTGTCTAAACTTTATTTAGTGAAGATCAAGCAACTGAAGGCATAAACAGCACACTGAGTTTATTTAACCGTGTTCCTGAGGCATTGTGGGCATGAAGGAGGATCAGGACAAGGCCACAGTGTTGTCCTGAGAGCAGCTTCTGAGTCTTATGTGCAAGACTCCTAAATGACAGATGAGCCCCTTAGGAGAAGTGGGCTGGGTTGCTTTCAACCATAATAACGTTACTGTGAGGGACAGTGACCACAAAGTGACCCAGTAAAACCCTGAACTCATGCCACGCACCTGAAATCAGAAGCAAACACAGACTGAAGATTTCTAATACTTTTATTTAAAGTCACAAAATCAATCGGTGGACTTGGTGTGCACAGTGAGTTTCTAGTTTGAAGCCTTCATGCTCCTCTGACAGTTTAAAGAAATTGGTAAAGATTGGCCTCTCTGCCTCCTGACTTCATCAGTGCCCCAGGGTGGAACATGAGGTCAACGATCCAGGTTTCTGGCGCAGAGAAGGCCCCAGTCACCCCCTTCCAAGACGGGTCCAGCAGCTTCACCTCATTCCATGCGCGGCCATACTCCCCTCGAACCAGAGAGCAGCCCACGCCAATTTTATCAGCCAGAGCCTGTGGGGGAAAGAGAGAGCCACATCCTGGGGTGAGAAGGAGAAAGATCCTTAGTTGTAAAACCCACCTTGGTTGAAGGTGAAGTAGACAACGCTTGTGCAGAAATGCTCAGACAGGAGGCTGAAAGAATTATTGTGCTAAGAGCCAATCAATTGGGAGAAGTGTCTGGTTCCTCAAGATCCTGGAGCCTCAAAGTCCCTGTGGGTCCTGCTGGGAGGGACCTTTTCAGGCAGTTACACTGGAAGGAAATGCACACCAGGGATTAGGTGGTGGAGGGAATCCATTCCGGGGACTCTCAGCCTTTGTGTATCTATCGGTCTCCACATGTCCAGGCTGCTCTCTGGCTGCGGCATGCCGATGGTGAATGGATACATCAAATCAGCGGGGACCTGTTTCCTGCCAACTTACTCTGTGTGACATAGACAATGCTGTGTGTGTGGCCGGAGAAGCAGAATTGATTGTAAGTGCCTCCTCCTTCTGGGGCTTCTTGCTGGTCCCTCACCAGAGGTTCCTTGGACATGGTCTCTTTAAATGGCCCTGATTTCTCCCGATTTGGGTTGTTTTTTTTTTTTAAAGTGTCTTTATAACAATCTGGAAACATCTCAGGCACATGATAAAGGATAAAAATGCTGGGTTGCATTGCCTGGGTTTAAATATGAGCTTACTAACCACTCACCACAAGCAAACGGCCCAGCCTGTCTGTGTTTTCCTTTCATCTGCAGTGAAATGAGAACAACAGTTCCTTCCTCATTCAGTGGTTGCAAAGATGAAGTGAATTAATACATGAGAAGTACCAAGTACTTAGTAGATGCTACGGATTACCAGAGGCAAGAGTTGTGTGGTTTGAATAATCTGTGAATGCATTTAATTTAGCCTTTTCCTTACTTACTACATAATAGTTGTACCAAGTCTCTTTGGAAGGATCAAGATGTTTAAGACATGGTTGTAATTTTCAGGACTCTATGTTCTGTCTAGCCTGATAGTGCTTAGTAACACAAACAGAATCAGGTCATATGGCCCGCATGGTCCAGTGGGTACAGAGACCAAAGAATGTATATGACATGGGATGTCGGTATGGCTTGTGTCTAGATGTCCCCCGCAAAGCCTCATGCGGTCACAGGTGGGGCTTTGGGGGGGGCTGGATCAGAGTGTGTGGTGCTGGGATTACGGGTGCCCCACCCTGGGTGGGGCCTACCCGTAGGGATAGAACAGAAGGGACAGAGAGAGGGCTGCTGTTGTGGTTTCCTGCTTCTGCTTTGCTACTTCACTGCTTGCTGCCTTCTGCCCACCATGAAATACCACATGCCATGGGATTGGAAATGGAGCCTTTGGGAGATGGCTGTACTTAGATGAGGTTACCTGGTGGGGGACCCCCTGGTGCTTTGAGTGGCCTTAGAAGAAGAGGAAGAGACCAGAGCTTTCTGTCTGTCTGTCATGTGAGGATACACCAAGGAGGAAGGAACAGGGCACACTGATCTTGGACTCGGCCTCTATAATACTGAGAACTAAATATTTACTGCTCAAGTCTCCAGTCTGTAGCATTTTGTTGTAGCAGCCAAACTGTCTAGTGCAGTGCCTATGAGATGCTTGTGTGGCTCTAGCTGGAGGGTCATCAGGTACCGCAGACCTGGAATCAGGAGAGGTGTGAGGATGGGGAGAAGACCTGAAAACTTCGGTACTTCAATCCTACTTCAGGCCCTGCGAAGAAAGACCTTACCCATGAAGCACCTGAATGAGGTCAGAAGAGTGCCTGGGTCGGAATCTAGGGGAACCCCAATATGTAGGACGGAGCTGGAGAAAAAGAGGTCTCCAAAGGAGACTGAGATGGCAGGCAAGAGAGACGGAGGCGAGTGAAGCGAGTGATCTGAAGGAGGAGAATGGTTTGTGACCAAGTCTTGGGCATATTAAGCGAGACAGACAATGTGGAGGTCATGTGCGCCTTACTGAGGGGGTGGAGGCAAGGGCCCCGATGTAGTGCGCTGAGGGAAAATGAGACACATGTCAAGGAGGGACAAGGACATGGTACGACTCATAATTTGGATCAGCAATGGAAATCATCTCTGGGTAGAGGCAGTGTGGTAGGTTTTGTTTATTCAGACAGCATGAATAGTTCCACCTCTGAGTGACCTTGGGTAAATTATTTTTCTAAGTATCAGTTTTCTTGTCTTTTAAAAAACAGGGGTAGTAATTTCCATCTTTGGCATTTTTGAGACTCTTTACAATTACATTTATCAAGCGCCCGGCACATAGCTCAAAATGATGGCTGTCTTGATAATAGGAACCATTAGAGCAGTTACAGATATCATGAGGAAAGATTTATATTTCTCTTTATCTATTGTAGACATCAGTGTGTTTAGATATTAAAGGGGAAACAGTTAATGGAGAGAAAGATTTAAGACAGGAGAGAAGGGAGACCGATAGAGCAAGAAATCCAAGGAAACAAGAAAGGCACTGAGGGTACAAACAGGATTTGGGTGAGACTGGAGGAGACACAGATGCCTGCTGTGAGGTTTGGGGTGCTTAGGAGAAGGTCAGGATTTACGTCTTCCGTCTACAGTTCAGGAAAGCTTTCCTCATCTCCTATCCCGCGGTCGATGCTGGACGCCATGGAACAAAAGATCGTCTCGTCCTCTGAACCCCATCCTGCTCTCCCGCCCCACCTCAGTGAACAATGCCATCTGCTCTGCCCAGAGCCTGCACATCATCTGTTCTTTTCGCAGTCTCTTCACACCCAGGAGGCACCAACTCCCTGGCTGTGCCTCCCAGAGCTCCCTCTAAGTTCACCCCCTCGCCCACGTGGCGTCCAGCAGTGCGGGTCCCCAGAGCTTCTCATCAGCCTCCCTGCTGTGGCCTCGCTCTGACTCTCTCCCCCTTCTGCTACCTGCAGGGTCTTTCAAGACTATGTTCCCCTCCTCCCTCGACAACTTTTAGTGGCTACACTTGGGGTTTGGGATGAAGCTCGAACTCACAGGATGCTGCGTCAGACCTGTGGCCTCCTCCAACCCTTCCCCTTTCCATCCAGAAGCTCCCTCCAATTCCTGCGGTGGGCCCAACTCTCTTTCCCATGTTACTGTGCATAAGGACATTCGCTCTGTTGAGAGCGCTGTTGACTTTCTCCTTTGCCAGATGAAATCTTACGTAGCCTCCAATACCTCCCTCGCTGGAGCTTTCCTGACATTACCTTGACAGACGTCTGGCTCCAGCACCACTGAGCTCAGGGGCTGTCAGTTCAGTGTCTGTACTCCCAGACCCTGGCAGACGCCCTGAATATGCCCCCAGTAGTCTGGTGAATATATGCACAGCACGTGTGTGTATACATTTGTATGCACATATGTGAGTGTGCACAGATGTACGTCAAATGCAAGCAGATCTAAACAACAGTACTGATAGTATCTAGGTACATGTTAGCAACTAGCTCATTCCAATATGACACAGAAAAACCCTTTTAACTTAATGGCAAATAAGATGAAAATATCTTAAATACTGTACCTTGAAAAGCAAAGCTCGATGGTAGAAGATTCCTTTTTTGATATACCCAATTGGGATGACATTGGATTTAAGTTGAAATTTCAGTTCACTTATGTGAAGTTCCCAGCTGAAATCAGGCAGTTTGTCTTTGGGAATCTTACCACCCATTTTTTCTGCCACATATCTGTGTCAATTACATTAAGATAAAAATCAATCAAGTTTAAAATCTTACTTTTTATCAAGTTCAACATCTCACTTTGGATGCTTTTTGTTTATAATTGTATGTCCAATTAGACATGTAAAACCTATGTTCCCTCTATTTTTATGTCTGCTATACTTTCAAGATGCACTTATGATATGCAATTTAACATTATGTTTATTGTACTCAGACCATCATGTTTATGTATAAGCTGAAATTCTAACAGTTCACTCCCTGTGAGGATGCAAATGAACACTAATTTCCCACTGTATATAAAAGATTCAAAAGGTGCAAATTAATATCACACTAAATAAAAATAATTTTAAAATGTATCTTACTCTTGAAAAGTATTTTTCAATGTTTTAATATGAAATCCAAGGCACTGCATTAACACGAGTGGTCTCTCAAGGAATTTAAACTTAGAGGTAATATAAACACAAATATTTCCCACTGGATCCACAGACATTTTCAAATTTATTTGGTTTTCAATTTTATTTAGTTTGATTTTTTTGTGACCGAGTCTCACGATGTCGCCCCGGCTGGCCTTGAACTCTCAGTGATCCACCTGCCTCAGCCGCCTCCACCCAAGTGCTGGGATTACAGATGTGGGCCACCGCAACCAGCTCTCATTTTATTTTAGAAAAAATATATATATGTATATTTTTAATTTAGAGAAAGACATGACGTTACGTAACACCGGAGGGAGCAAGGAAGAGGAGGAGCGCAAAGGGAGCAGTTGCGGATAACGACGGAGACGGAAACTGTGTGTGTGGTTTTCTCCTAAGAGTGGGCTCTGGCCGAAGGCATCAATAAACACACTTGCAAAACTCCTGTCACCTGCGGGCTCCACACTCTCGGATAAAGGGGAATTCAAAAGCGTTTCCTCTCGCCGCTCTGCGAAGGTCTGTCCGAGGGTGTGGGGACCCGGGCAGGCAGGGGCAGGGCAGGGGCCTGAGCGCTGCTCCTCTCCCTGGCCTGTTTCCGGCCCAGGTTCGGAGAGCTGATGGGCTGGGCAGGCGTAAAAAGCACCTCCCATAGGAACAAAGCGTGGGTACTTTGACTTGTGTCCGGAACCGAATCACATCTGCCTGAGTCGTCCCTTCCCCAGGCCATCAGGGACACTCCAGTCGCCCCAAGATCCCGGGAGACCGCAGCCGGCCGAGCACCCGCCCACCTGCTCCGCTGGGCGTTCAACCCCGGGAACCGCCGATCGGCCCACTGCAGAGGGCAGCTCCGCGGCCCCGCAGCCGCTCTGGACCTCACACCCGGGCCAGAGCAGGGCCGAGCACAGCGTACCGGACATTCGCCAGAAAAACAGGGGATGGTTGTTTGCGTTACAAATAATTGATACGTTTATAAATAATACATATTATGATTTTTTACATTATGAGCACTTCATACACTAAAGAATGATTTAATTTTCAAACTTTTGACTCATAGCTTCTCTAAGATCACACTGAAAGACGCTTTGAATGGCTCGGCTGGAGAACATAGAAGGCTTTTCCTCTCAGTCATTTCTAGCTCTTAGCTTTGAATCTTCATGGAAAGGTGAGCTAATGTGGACACTGAGAACCTTTTCAATTCATTGTTTGTGCTAGAGAGTCAGAACTAGGGTGCTGGAAAGTTCAGTTTCATTATGGCAGATTTCTCAAAAATTCGCTGAAAAATGAAAACCGATAAAAGAAAGCTTCTTTAATAAACAGTGCTGGGAAAACTGGCTATCCACCTGCAGAAGATTGAATCTAGACCCATATCTCTCACCATGTACTAAACTAAAAGCAAAATGGATCAAAAAATTAAATGTTAAAACAGAAATATTTGACCTTAGTCTCAAAGTCACAGGCATAGACAAGGACTTTCTGAACAGAACATCAGTTGACAGGAAATATTACTGAGAATCAACAAATGGGATTATATCAAATAAAAAACCTTCCACACAGAAAAAGAAACAAGCAGTAGAGTGAGAAGACAACTGACAGAATGGAAAAAAACTTTGCCAGCTATTCCTCACACAGAGGACTAATATCTGGAATATATAAAGAACTCAAATAATTGCAACCCCGAAAATAAAAGACCCAAGCACAACACAGGCAAGTGAAATGAATAGATACTTCATAGAAGTTCTACAAATGGCCATCAACTACATAAAGAAAGGCTCAACATTGCTGGCCACTAGAGAAATGCAAATTAAAACAATACTGAGATTCCATCTTACTCCGGAAAGAATGGTCATCGTCAAGAAATCAAATAATAACAAACAATGGTAAGGCTGTAGGGGAGAGGAACCTTTCTATATTGTTGGTGGGAGTGTAAACTAGCACAACCACTGTAGAAAACAGTATGGACTTTCCTCAAAAAACTGGGATCAGAAATTCCATTTGACCAGGTCTTTCCCCTTTTAGGTATCTTTCCCCAAACAGTAAAAGACATCATATTGCAGTGGTCCATGAACACCCGTTTATAGCAGCACAGTTCATAACAGCTAAACCTTGGAAGCAGCCTATATGCCCATCAACCGATGGACGGGTGGATAAAGAAAATGTGGCATTTACACAATGCAGTACGACTCTGCCATAAAGAAGGATGCATTTGAGTGGGAAATGGATGCACCTTGAGACATAACGTTAAGTGAAGTCAATTAGACTCACAAGCTTACATATCACGTGGTTTCTCTTAACAGGAGAAATTCAACGTGGAAAGAGAGCAAAATAAAGCACAGAGAACTCGAAGTAGGGGGCAGATCTTTCTCAAGGGGGAAGAGGATCGAGAGGAGGAGGGAGGCAGAGGGAAGGGAGGGAAGGGGGTGAGAAAGGAATTTAGATGTGTTTGTTATTTGCATGGACCAACTCCACAGAGAATGTAACCATTATGCACTGCAAGCATGTACATTTAAATAAAAATAAATAAATTTTTTAAATGCATATGTACCCAGAGAGGACTTACTTGGCAAGAACCTCAACCTGCTCCTTGACATTGGTTACGGGCAGGATCGACCTGGTCACGTCGTACACGTATGTGCAGAAGTGAGGGTCCGGGGGTGGGTACCATTCTTTCTCAGGGCTGCTTTCTCCTGTCAGCTTTGGTATCGCCAGCACCTCTTCCTCCTCTTTCACTTTCTCCTCTTCTTTTTTCCCTCTGCCTTTCCTTGAGAAAATCAAACTCCAGCAATCAAAATCATGCCTTCTGCTAAACAAATGAACAAATGCTAACTATGCTCTGCGTGAATCTGAAGAGAATCACAGGAATAAGGAATTTTACACTTCAGTAATCTGAAATAGTCATTTATAGAACCTATATGTTTTGCCAGAGAAACTAATTTTGCAAAGAACACTATGTTATTGATGTACATTATAAATATTATACATTTCACTTCTGTACCATTGCCTAACAAGGCATCTGACACAGAGTAGTCATAAAATAAGTATTTATGGAGTTGCAAAGTCTAATATGCCTTCTTGGAGAGTATAAGCCCAGTCTTATGAGGTGTGATCAAGTATATGATGAATGTTTAAATTTTAAAAAGTTTATTACAGTAAAAGATACATTGCTCTTAATCCCCAAAATACTTCCCTTGCCTTTGAACACACCTATCCCATCATTCTTGCTGCTTTCTGAAGCAGTTCTGGAGTCCTCTTTCACAAGTGTCTTTATGACCTATGATTAAAAATAGTAACAGTGAGTGCTGCTGCCGAGAGCCATCCAGTGGAAAGGTAGCTCATAGAAAAAGCATCTCCTCATCCACTGTAGTCCCCAGATCCGGCACCTTGTGCCTCTGGCTCTTCCCCAGACAAAATGACCATGAAAGGTAAACATTTTGAATTGATTCGGGGCATCAAGGCAGCCATGACACTGCAACCAGGACACTCATGTGCAGGTCTCTTTATGGCAGTGTGTCTTTTACTGCAATAAATTTAAAAAATTTTCATGTTCATTGTAGTTTTTGATCACACACCTGGCTTGGATATTATATATTGTATCAGTTACAACCTTCTGCCAGAACAACTTGGGTCACTATTTTTAAGAAAAAAATACCCAAAACATGGAGAGCACAAAATAAGAATGCCATATAATTTCCAAATGGTATAAGAGCAAAGACCCATCCAAAATTTATTGAGAAAAACATATGTAGTAAAAATAAAAAATACTATTTATGAATTATAAATTCGAAATTTAGAGAATTACTAGTTAATACGTAGATTTTTTTGTTTTATAAAGATAATTCTAGCCAATTCTAGCTAGAAAAATAATTTCTAGCCAATGGAAAACTATTCCCAAAGTGTACAATTCATACAATAATCAGTTTTGTACATAAGTCAGCAATCTTTTTCTTTTCTTTTTTTTTTTTTTTTTTTTTTGGTACCAGGGATCGAACTCAGGACCTTGCGCTTGCCAGGCAGGTGTGGAGACACTGAGCTACAGCCACGGCCCCGGTCAAACACTCCTGAACATTGAGTCAGAAAATCCAAGAAGGAAATGGGAGATAGAAAAATAGATAATTGGAATTAAAAAATACTAAAACCACAATTTTAAAATTATAACTCTTGAATGGGTTTAATAACAGAATGGAAATAACAGTAGTCCCGAAAATAGAACAACAAAAAGTACCTAATCTGAGCAACAAAAAGAAGAAAAGATTGAAAAATACTTAGCAGACCCTCAGAGACCTGTGATACAATAAAAAAATGTTTAAGATTAGTGTCATCGAAGTCTCATAAGGAGGAGAAAGAGTACAGTGGAGAAACAAGTTGGATGAATAGGGGCTGAAATAGCTTCCTCAATTTAGTTAAAGACATGCGTCTACATAGTCAAGAATTTTAGTGAATGTTAATAAGGTTAACTCAAAAGAAATCTGCTCCTGGACACATAAAAATCAAACTACTGAAAGTTAGAGATAGATGAATGAGTGTCTATGTAGAAAATCCCAAAACTATCAACTGTGTTAATCAAGGTTTCAGGGTATAAGAGTAACACAAAAAAAATCAATTCTGGCTCTAGATAGTAAAATGAACATGTGGAAATCAAAACTAAAACTCCCAAAATTCTGGAGCATTAATATTTGCTCCAAAGAAAATTACGTACTTAGGTATAAATTTTACAAAAGACATAGGAATTCAACATGTTTTGAATTCTTGTGTGAGATGTGTGCTAATACTAACACAGAGGGATAAAAGACCTAAATCAAAGACCTCAATTCATGAGATATACTGTGTACATAGATTGGAACACTTATCAAAGATTTAATTTCTCCCCAAAATGACCCCTAGCTTTAATGAAATCCCTATAAAAATCTCAGAAAAGAATTTTCTAGACGTAGAAAATCTTACTGAAAATTTACATAGAAAGGCATGGGCTGTGGAACAGCTAACTCAACCTTGATGAAAAATGAAGTAGGAAGGATCGGTCATCCCACTTGATACGAAGGCTCACTCTATAGCTACAGTAGTTCAGACAAAGCGACAGTAGTGGACAGAGAGATGCAAAGATTGACGTGACAGAATGGAGGATCTTGAAATGAATCCACACAAAAATCTGCAACTGATTTTCCTGGGTTTTTTTTTTTTTTTGTACCAGGGATTGAACTGGGGTTCTTGCGCTTGTGAGGCAGGTGGCAGGGAATCACTGAGCTAAATCCCCAGCCCGGCAACTGATTTTTGACAAAGGTGCAAAGGCAATTCAACGGAAGAAGGGCAGCTTTTTAAACAAATGGAGCAGGATCAATTAAATATGAGAGACTCATAGTGAAAAATTGTTCACTATGGTGATCAACACATAAACCTACACATGGGATAGGATAGTGTAGAACTCAATAGGCAAACACTCCGAAGTAAAACTAGGGACCTTGAATAAAATCATTGGATTGGATCAAGGTCGACATCCTATGATATTTTACTATAGTTTAAAATTTTTACAATTGGGTTTGTGAGGATCTCTATTTTATTTCTTACAGCAGTGTGTGAATCATAATTATCTCATTAAAAAGTCAATTTAAAAATTCCTTAGCTGTATTTGTGTGCCCTGATATGTATATCCCTTCACCAACACCATGCTATCTTGGTATTGCAGGTTTACAGTAAGTACTGAAATCAGATAGAGTGATCCTTTCAACTTTCTGCTTTTTCAAATTTCTCTCAGCTATAGGAGAACAGGCTACACCGTACAGCCTAGGTATGTAGCAGGTTGTCTCAACTCAGTTCCTATGCACACTCTGTGATGTTTGCCCGATAATGAAACTGTTTACAATGCATTTCTCTGCTGAGGATGTAGCTCAGTGGTTCTGCCGCCTGCCTCGCAAGCGCAAGGTCCTGAGTTTGATCCCTGGTACCAAAAATAAAACAAAATGCATTTTTCATAACACATCCCTGTTGTTAAATGATGTATGTCTGCATATGTTATAATCTAATAGAAAGTTAAAAAAATTCTCTTGGCTATTATCGCTATTTACTTTTCCATAAAAATTTGAAAGCCGCTTGTCCGTATCTGCAAAAGATCCTGCTAAGATTATAATGGAATTGTATCAAATCTATAGATCAATGTGGAGAAAAATGATATTTTTATTATGTTGCATTTTCTAATATTTGAACATGGCATGTTTCTTCACTTATTCAGTGAGTCTTTTAATTTTTTACTTTTTATTTTAATTAGTAAATGTTTGGAGTACATAATTGTTATATTCATCACGGGGAGTTGACTTATGTACACGACATTTCTTAATTCTTTTTATTTTCCCTTCCCCTCTTCTCCCTCCCCATTCTCTCCATCTCTTCATAAATGTTTTATAGTTTTCAATATACAAGTCCTGTATATGTTTTGTTTCACTTTCATTTTTGTTTCACATTTTATTCCTTAGAGCTATTAAAATGATATTTCAAGTTGTTTGGTTTTCAATTGTTCATTACTAGCGTACAGAAATACGACTGATATTTGTATGCTGGCCTTATATCCTCAATGTTGTTAACCTTACTAGTTTCAATTTTTAAAGTAGATTCTTCAATGATTTTCTATTTAGACAAACCATGTTGTCTGCAAGTAGGAACTCCCCACACCCCACACACATGCTTTACAATCTGTTTAACTCTTTAAAATGCCTTATTACAATGTCTAAGACTTCTAATACAATGTTAAATAGTGGTAGCAAGGACAGATGATATTTTGCCTTGTTTATGAACTTTGCAGTCTTTCCCTGTTAAACATGATGTAATCTTTAGATTCTTTGTAAGTATATCTTATTAGGCTGAGGAAGTTCTGTTTTATTTTTTTTAAGTTTTTTTGAAATGATGCATGGACATTGAATTTTATTAAGTGAGTTTTCTGTATTGATTAAAATGATTGTGGGGTTTTTCTTCATGGGTTTATACTGCTAATATGGTACATTATATTGATTTTCAAATGTGAACCAGCTTCACACTCCTAGGATAAAGCTCGCTTGCTCAAATGCATTATTCTTTTTATTTATTGCCAGATTTACTTTGTTAATATTTCATAAAGGAGTTTTGCATCTATGTTCATGATGGATATTGATTTGTAATTTCCTTGTAATGTCTTTTCTGGTATTGACTTTGGAGTAATCCTGGTCTCATAACAGGAGCTAAGAAACATCCTCTCACTTTTTCAAAATTGTGTAGAAATGGTGTTAATTCTTTAAATGTTTGGTAAATATATGGCGAGTCAGATTTTTTAAAAAATTGTTTTTATCTTAAAAAGAAAGTAAAAAAATTGTTTTTATGAATTAAATGTATTTCATAGCTACAGGACTATTCAGGTTATCTGCTTCATCATTGGTGAGTTTTGGTAATCTGTAATTTTTGATGAATTGGCCCACTGCATCTCAACTGCTGAATTAAGGTGCTTGTAGCTTTGCCTTATTATCCTTTAGTGTGTGGGGGTTTGTAGTGATAAATCCTTTCCTCCTGATAGTGACAATTTATGTATTCTCTTTTATTAATTGTCTGCTTTGCTGGAGGTTTGCTGACATTATGTATGACCCTTTTAAGAATCAGTTTTTAATTTTATTGATTTTGTTTTTATTTTCAATTTCATTGATTTCTGATCTTCCTTTTGCTTGTCAAGTTTATTTTCTTCTTTTTAGTTTCTTGAGGTAGGTGCTTAGATTATTGATTTGTGGCCTTTTGTTTCTAATGTAATGT